TTATTTTTTTAATTAGACAGATATATAGAGTCTGTTTTTTAGATTTATTTATATATATATATATATATATATATATATATATATATATATATATATATATATATATATATAATAACTACAATTAAAATTACAAAACTACAATGAAACACCAACTATTTACCTTATTTAAAATAAAATCTAATCATAACTTATTATGACATATTATTTAATAATGACAAAACTAACCAATTAAAGTCAAAGACGCAGTAAATAAAATACACTATTGTGCAAATCTGTTACAATAATCACACATCATAACTAATAAATTTGTGCAATAATGTATTTAAGTTTTTTATTTATTGCCTCTGCGATTTTAATTGGTTTACATTATTTATATATATATATATATATTTGTGTTGCTGAGTGCAACATAATTTCCTTCATGCATTACATATAACTGCATGCATTCATTGTTTAATTAAATGTTTAATTTAATTATTTAAAAATGTATACTGTTTTGTTTTCTCCACAGAATGAGCTTGTAATACTTATACTGAAAGGAAACATAAAAAGTCTCTCAGTGAAAACAGTGTTTTCATTCATAAAGGCCTGATATAATGCCTATAACGTAAACTTTGACCTTCATCTCCTCCAGATAATATGCGTGAGTCAGATCACATCAGGTGAACAGTGAAAAGATGAGCTTATTATCTGAGAACATCTCTTTATCTACCATTACACACGCATATATATCAGTCACTACGATAATAAACATGAGGAAATGTCCTCACCACATTCATCACGATTCAAATGTGCTTAAGTTTACATCACTTTTTTCTTTTGCAATGAAATCCTAATCTAATCATGACAAACTAGATATGAGTGGAAAGACCTAAGATTTCTGAATTCATATTTTACTTAAGTAAATTTTTTTTAAGTAATCGTGACAAACTATATGCCATGTGAAAGCTTAAAATAATGTAAGATAACAACATAATGTAATAATGTTCCATATCTGATTTTGACAGATGTTATTGAGCAATAGTTGTTTCTTATTTGCAATAAGAATACTCTTCAGAGTCATAAAAAGCATTACTTTGGTACAGCAATGTAAAATGTTTGTGTTTTTGGGCTAAATTTAAATCAAATACCACCAAACTGCACACACTAATCTATAATTTAATGTCTGCTTCATAAATATTCTCAAAAGTATGAAAAAAACATGATTAATTTTCTTCAAAATATACACAGGGGGCGCTCTTGTGTGGTCAACAATGGTAATCTGGTGGTCATGTTTGGTACTGCGGTCAAACTAAACACTACTGAAAGCTGCTCTTGTTTGAGATATCAACTTCAGATTTTATTTTTGTTACATATGAAGAGTAATAGATTAAACACATTTACTAATATCCCGTGGGACACTTTATGGTTTCATATTTAAACCACAATATTGTAAACATAAAACAATCATGACAAACTATATGTCATGTGAAAGCTTTTTTTTTTTTTTTACTTTGATACAGCAATCCACATTGTAAAAGGTTTTTAGATGTTGTTTGAGGCTAAATTTAAATCAAATACCACCAAACTGCACACACTAATTTATAATTTAATGTCTGCTTCATAAATATTGTAAAAGTATGAAAAAAGCATGAATAATTTTCTTCAAAATATACACAGGGGGCGCTCTTGTGTGGTCACCAACTGAAATCTAGTGGTCATGTTTGGTACTGCGGTCAACCACATTTATTAATATCCTGTGGGACGCTTTATGGTTTCATATTTAAAACACAATATTGTAAACATAAAACAATCATGACAAATTATATGTCATGTGAAAGCTTAAAATAGTGTCTAGTTTCCATATCTGATTTTGACAGATATTATTGAGCAACAGTTATTTATTATTTGCAGCAGGAATACTCTTCAGAGTCATAAAATAAGCATTACTTTGCTACAGCAATCCTCATTGTAAAATGTTTTTTGGGGGGCTAAATTTAAATCAAATACCACCAAACTGCACACACGACTTTATAATTTAATGTCTGCTTCATAAATATTGTCAAAAGTATGAAATCAAATCATATACAGGGGGCGCTCTTGTGTGGTCAACAATGGTAATCTGGCGGTCATGTTTGCTACTGTGGTCAAACTAAATACTACTGAAAGCTGCTCTTGTTTGAGATATCAACTTCAGATTTGATTTTTGTTATATGGGAAGAGTAATAGATTAAACACATTTATTATTATCCTGTGGGATGCTTTATGGTTTATTATTTAAATATAATTTATATTATAATATTATTTAAATCACAATATTGTAAACATAAAGCAATCGTGACAAACTATATGTCATTTGAAAGCTTTAAATGTCTAGTTTCCATTTCTGATTTTGATTGACAGTCAAGTCAGTTAACAGTTATTTCTTATTACTTTGCTACAGCAATCCACATTGTAAAATGTTTTTTGGGCTAAATTTAAATCAAATACCTCCAAACTGCACACACTACTTCATAATTCAATGTCTGCTTCATAAATATTGTCAAAAGTATGAAAAAAAAAATGGGTGATATTCTTCAAAGGATACATGGGGGGCGCTCTTGTGTGGTCACCAATGGTAATCTGGTGGTCATGTTTGGTACTGCGGCCAAACTAAATCTTATTAAAAGCTCTTTTTTGAGATATCAACTTTTACTTTGGAACATATTTAACTTTGTACTATATAAATAAATACAATTTTTGTCCCTTTTAAGATAGTCGCTGGTTCGAGCCTCAGCTGGGTCAGTTGGTATCTCTGTGTGGAGTTTGCATGTTCT